GTGGGGATTGTGGAGGTATCCGTCTTTATAAGCTGCATCAGGGAAATGAAAGGCATTGGCACGTCTCAGGTATGGCCTGTCACATGGTAATTTAAACTTCCTGTGCAGATCCTACACACATAGGAAGTTGACTTGGTTTAGGGACCACACATGTGGATCAGTAATAATCAGCAATTCATAGGATTGAGACATTGTGCTTCCTCTGATGAAAACGTTGTGTGTGTACTGTATACACTACCGTTCAAAAGTCAGGGGTCGGTATGTTTAATTAATGTTTAATTGTTTGAAAGGACCAGTTCAGGTCTCTTATGCTCACTTAAGGCTGCATTTTTATAATCAAAAATACAGTATAACAGTAATAATGTGAAATATTATTACAATTTAAAATAACTGTTTCCTATTTTAATATATTTTAAAATGCAATTTATTCCTGTGAGGACAAAGCTGAATCTTCAGCATCATTGCTCCAGTCTTCAGTGTCACACGATCCTTCAGAAATCATTCTAATATGTTGCTTTGCTGCTCAAGAAACATTTCTGATTATTATGAATGTTAAAGACAGTTGTGCTGTTTAATATTTTTGTGAAAACTGTGATACATTTTTTCAGGATTGAAAAAAATTTACCATTTATTTTAACATTTATTTCAGCATTTATTCGATTTTTTAAATTTAATTTATTTATTTGAATGTCTCCTTGCTAAATAAAAGAATTAATCATTTTTTTTTTTATTCTTACTGATCCTAAACCTTTGAACGGTAGTACATCTGTTCATGTCTTGCCTCTCTGATGGCCTGTAGCTGGCTATCTGGCACTCCTGCAGGGTAGATTACAGTAATGAGTCCAGCTGGTTTAGGCAGTTGAAAGTGAAATGGCTGTGGCACCAGGAAAGATGAGCCCTTCCTGTACCATAGCACCACCCTTTCCATGTCTGCTAACTGCTTATTTAATGCCTCCACCAGCCCTGTACACACACTGATCAATCACACACACACACACACACACACACACACACACATATTGTGCTGAACTTCTCAACCCTGATCTTAGCATTCAATTCATAGCAATAAGAACACTTCCTTATAAACCTCAAAGATTTTGACAACCTGAGCCAAAAAAAAAAAAAAAAGCACTCACATTGCCAGGCTCTCATCAGGGGTCACAGACAGAGTACAGTCTAAAGGCAGTGGCATCTTCACACAATGCTGCGGTGTGCTCACTCGGATGAGACTAGGAGCTTCATCCCCAGCAGGTTCTGTGACCTCAAACAACAGCTTCATATTCACTACAGTCTACATAAAGATGGACAGCAGAGAGTTACTGTTAGAGTGACTGTTAACAGTTACCACCTTTCAAACAATCTAGTCAAAGACTCTCACAGGTCCAGATTTCTTCTTATCTTTCTTTTTTGATGACTTCTTGCTCCCACCATCATCTGACCTGTGGACAGAAAGTATCATACTTTGTTAACATTCTTATGATGCATATTACATAATACTCTACATACACAAACATTAAAAATATGAAAGACCCAACAGTACTTACTCTATACACTGCAAAATGTCTCCACATGCTGATGCTTCTGTCAAGCTTTCCACACTTGACTGGAAACCAGTGTTAGGCCATATTAATACTGGACTGTTACATACAGTGAAAACAATATTTTTTGATGATACTTTGGATCGGAGATCCTGGAAACTTTTTGATATGGTGCTTTGACTTTGTGCGCCTGCCAAAAGGAAACAGAGATTTTTTTTCTCTCATAACCAGCGTATATGTAAATGTTTTTTCATAAAATAAAGTTAAAATTAAAAGTTTTACAAATCAAGCTCATCCTTTTATAATTTGAGCTTTACCATTTGGATTGTCAAGCTGGCAAGCAAACTCCAAGATTCCTTTCAATCGAAATATAAAGTCGCACTCTTCTGAATAAACCTGAGGAAATCGAAACACGCATCATTAACTGCTTAAGACAGAAATAATTGAGTATATGGATCGTGTTGTTCATTAATTCCCTCTGAAGCATATGTTGACAAAAGGCTAGCACATAAACATGAACATGGTGTCACGAAAGAAAGCGGTTTGTTTTCAACAACAGTTTGTTCCAAAATAGCTTATTACCATTTTAATTCCTTCGACCAATGATCAAATTCAGCTGCTGTCACCAGAAGGCTGACATATTTGATGACGTATCACAACACGTCCGCATCTTCCTCGCATATTTGATTTCGTGTCACAGGGAAAATACAGTCTCTTACTGCCCCCTGCTGATCTGACTGTGACTGCGCAAAGTGTAAATGATCCAAATACAAGGCAATGACAAAAATATACTGTACGACTTTTCTGTTTAATAAATTAACTGTAAGTAAAGAATGAATGTTCTTTCAGAACAAGTAATATTGCTTGAGAATGTTTATTTAGTTTTTAGCCTTTAACAGTAAAAAGAAACAATAGTTGTGGGAGAGAGGATGAATGGCAAAAACAATTATGAAATCATGACAATAATATTTAATATTTATTGAAAGAATATTATTAATTAATTTCTAACCAGTAGAGATTAATTTATAGAAGCTATAATAATGGCACAAATTTAAACAACATTTTACTACAATTTAAAATAACAAAAATCTATATATACTGTATATATGTGTGTGTGTGTGTATAATATCTGTCTCAGTAACATTCCCTGATATTTTTCCCAGGTCTTTGTATTTTCTCTTTCTCCTTGGTTGTACGTCTTCAAATGTAACCTTTATCTGCTATGTTGTGTCGCCTCCTATCAGTAAGAAAACATTTAAAAATAAAGCCAACTTGTAAATAGCGAACATCATCAAAATGTACAGTTTGTTTCAACTAGTCTTACTTATAGGATGCTGAGCCGGTGGACTTTGCTGTGGTGGACTGTAAAGCAAGGTTCTCAGAGGGTTTCCCTGAAAGCCTCCTGAGACCAGCACCTTTGTTGTTTCCTTTCAGCTGCAATGAGATGCTGTTAGTAAGGCTGATATATTCCTGATAGAGCCTCTTTACTTCCTGACGCAGTAGATTCCTCTCAGCCTCTACAGTGAGCAGGCAACATGCTAGTTCATCCAGCTGCTCCTGAGCTCTCTCTGCTCTACTTTCAGCATCTTTTATGACCTGACTGCTGTGGTGCAGTCTCTCTCTTAGAGTCTGGTTTTCCTGTTGTAGCTGCGTTATCTTCCTCTCTTCGACTATTTCTGAATCCCGTTTCATTCTTTGAGATTTCCTGACTGGTTCCGTTAAGTTCTTTACCTTCTCTTGGAGAACAACGACTGTTTCTCTTAGCTGCTGCTTCTCCTGGTGTTTACAGCATGAGACTGTCTCCAGATCTTCAGACTGAAGTCTGTTCTGCTTTAAGACCTCTGTAATTCTTTGCCTCATTTGCTGGTTTTTAATGAGAAGTTGTTTGTTCCTTGTGTCCAGGTCTTTGTTGATGTATTTAACTGCTTTAAACCTCTCCACAGATCTCTGCAGCTCTGTTTTGCATTCTCTGGAATATTTCTCCATCTTTTTAAGCTTCTTTTTAACCTCTAGGTTTTCCTTCTCTAATTGTGTGCACTTTACTAAATAGGCCTCAAATGGACACTTACGGGTTTGTTTAGCACAGCCTGCTTCATGTTTCATTGCTTTATTTTCTTTCTTATTATCCTCCTCAAGACGCACGGTGTCTTTAAGGTTTGTGGTTGCTTGGGACTTGCTGTCCATTACACGGTCTCCTCCTCTTCCTCTTGTTTGCATGGCAGGGGTAGAATTTAACCCACACGGTAAACTATTGTCTGAAAATCTAGACTTCTCCATGATGTCCGTGACACTGACAGTTCTGCTGTGTGTCGTTTATCAGGTCTATGTAAAGCTATTCGACTTCTCCTTCACCCTGTTGACTGATGCCTGTTATACAACAGCAACTTCTTTCCTTTTGTGTGGGATTCCTGAAAAGGATAACCTTGTTTATCTCAAATGTATTTAGAGTAGCAACCCATGCAATGAATTGCATTTGAACTAATTTTATTTCTTGCGTTTAACCAAAAACAAGAAATACAACTTTATCATTAACTGTGTAACTAAACCAACCAACAAACAACGCGACTAAGTAACGTTAGAACTAATTTAAGGTCCGTTCACACCAACAATACAAATAGCCTAAAGAGAACTGTAATCATATCATTATTATAACCAAGATTTAATTCAATATTTAGAATTAGAAAAGGAATAGAATATTAACAAAGCATGAGTAAATAAACATTTATTTACAATACTCCCTTGAGGCCTACCGTAACAATGATTGCAAGATCACTTCATTAAGCACCTAATATTTTGTAATTTTCGTCTCATTAGGATATCCAGATATCTATTTTTGGGTGAAAAAGTACATTACCGCGAAGAGGGGGACACTTACTGATCATTTGTTTATACTTCTTGCTTCGATTCATATTTACTTTAGTTTGATGGGCGTATCTATGGTAACCTCAAATTAATAAAAATTAATGTAAACAAATATATATTATTTATTGGTATTTATGATACATAGCCTATATTTGGCTAGGCCATGGCAGGACACTGCATCACTCAACGTGGCAGTAATACTCCAAAGCAGACTTTTCTTTACAAGTGATGACAGAAGAAGAACAAAAAGGAATTTTGAATTGAAATGAATAAATGCTTGACATATTTTGAATTCATAAATTCTTCTTGTGACCTGCATACACATCAAAAATGATGGCAATGATGTAAGGACACATTATGTTGTCAGGAAAATGCTCCCCTGTCTTGTTCAAACACACCTGACAAGAGATATGATTCTCCAAAAAACAAAACCTTTATTCATACAAACTTATTTCAGTCAACACACCCTATTCCTACAAAGTGCAAAATAGCACACATGAAATGACAATGCACTATCCATAAATGTGTCTCTCAGTATTTGGTTGACATGATTGCGCATGAATTGTGGTAAAACTTTTGTGTCTGTGGTTAAAACAAGATGTTCATGCACTGAGTAGTTGAGTTGCAGTTGGTGCCCTCATGCAATCAGAAGAACAACGAGAAGGTCAAAGGTCGGGACTCTCAGGAGGTTTGGCCCGGGCATGAGCGTGGGTTTCACAGTATAACTCATCATCTATGAAGTAGTACCCTCTCTGCTTTAGATTTTCCTCACATTCGGTGCACACAAAACAGTCCGGATGACGAAACTTATCCTGAACCTTCACAACCGTCCCACTGAGAAAACAGAGACAGAGCCAATCAGAGAGAGCCATAGAAAAAGAGACAGGGAGATAGAAATGTTAACCTGGATTCATGAGATCTTACTGATCTCAAACTTTTGAACAGTAATGCACTTTTATATGTTCATTCCTTTAGGTGTGAAAGTGGGAAAAAATATGAATACATACGTATCATCACGGTTATCAGCCCATATTAGAGGAATGTTGTCCATTATTGGACAATACTAGTGTTTAGAAATGATTAAGCAAATCTCAAAATAAATATCCACTTTTCATTCTGTACATTGTTATGTTGTGATGCCTAAATTCACTTGTAGCCTAATATTGAAAATGATTGCTTTTATTTTATTAATTTTTTTAAGCCAAAGTGTGTAGAATTAAAAAAATGTATCACTTATTATCAGCCATAACATGATATATATATATATATATATATATATATAT